AGTAACGAACGAACGTAAGTAAGGTGTGTGTGTGTGTGGTGTGTGTGTGTGGGTGTGGGGTGTGTGTGTGTGTGTGAGATTAAAAATAGCCCAATTGCTTTTACAATAAATAAACATTGAATGTGTTTAATTGAATAGTAAAGGGGTTTAACGTTAGTGGCAGGTTGTGTGTGAGAGAGAATAAATAAGAAAGCCCAATATTTTAAAAAATTGTTTTTCTTTTCCCCCGCATATTTAGCATATTTCGCCAACTTTCCGCATATTTCGCAACTTCCCGCAATTTCACCGCATAAAATCACATAAAACCCCCGCATGTTTAATCGCATAATCAAGGATTTTTGTCCGCGTTTTTCTGGAGGGTCTAACTGTATCCTCACACATACCTTCCTGCTTCTCCTTCTCATCCTGCAGTCTCTTGAGGAGGGCGTCTGCCACAGGCGTCTCTGAATACACCTCCAGAGGGGAGTCCAGTAAGGGATGGTCTTCCTCTGGGTAATCCCAGAGCTTGGTTCTTGTAGATCGACGAGAGTTGGAGCGACTAGTTTTGCTGTTTACTTCAGGCTCCAGTAGATCTCCACTTTCTTTGATATTATCAGTAATCGTCTCTCTTATCGTCTTCCTTGAACTCTGAGGAATAAATAGAGGAACCAGTTTCACCTGAGCGTGAAGTGAGGATGGCTAGTGTTAATAAACATGCAACATGGAATAATGAACAAAAACAAAGGTGAATTCGAAACTGAAATGTGAATTATGAGGTAACACTTATTTTATGGAAAGATGCATCTTAAAAAGGTACCCTATCATACCGTTTTTCATCAATACATTATATGTCTCAGATGTATACAAAACATGTCTCTGAAGTGTTTGGCTCCAAACACCAAACAGATCATTGCAGCATCCCATAATCCCCTCTGTTTCAGCCCTGTTTCAAAAGTGCTGATTCTCTGTCTGTTACTTTAGATGAAAATAAGGAGCCACTCCCCACACCCCTCTGAGAGATATTTGGTTAAAAAGAACTCAATGGTGCTCTAGGAGGAGATTCAGGTGATAAGGGGGGGTTATCTTGGTTGCTGATTGGCTAATGGTTACACAAGCCAAAAAATCGTTATTACATCATAAAGTGGCCAAAATCTAATCAGCTCATTTTTAGACAGGTTTTTATATAAATGGATCAGGACAACAAGTGAGCGAATCTTTTTACACAGAGGGGAAACATGTTTATGTATAAAAGACATGAAAAAGTGGATTTTGCATAATAGGTGACCTTTAAGTGAATTTAAGGGAAAATTCAGCCGATGGTTCAACATAAAGAAAAATGTTAACATCTATAAACATCATGGTGAAGATGAAACATTCAAAGCATTCAAACAGCGTTCAGCTTATTTTACATCAACAACTGGCATACACAAGAAAGAACCGGTTTGAATAACTTACTTGTGGATAAACGCTCAGGGTAATGCGGTTGGACTGTCGGGTCGCCCTGCCAAGACTGGAAGATCTTTTTACATCTTCCTCCTCCTCCTCCAGCAGTGCCGTCTGCATTTCTGATGATGTCGTCTTGCTTTTCCTGGAGTTGCGTTTGGCCGGAGTTGCAAAGACCTCCACCGGTTCCTTCTGTTCTTCCAAGATCTCCAATGTTGCCGACTCCACCTCACTGCTACTCAATATCCTTCTGCTGGACCTCGTTGGAGTGTTTACCCGAGTGGTCCTGCGTTTGGCCGGTGTCGGAGTCTTGGAGCTTGTTCGCCGATAAACTTTAGCATCTGTGACGTCTTCTATTTCCTCCTCATCACCACTTTCGATCTTTTTGCTGTTCCTTATTGAGGTGGCCTTCTGGGAAACCCGACGTCTGGCTGGTGAAGTCGTTGTTTTGTCAGTATCCATGGCGATCTCCTCTTTAACATCTTCTTTTGGAGGCTCTGGCTTAGCGTTACGAGAACTTCTTCGAGGTGTGGTAAATTGGGCTTTGCTCTGGTTACTTTTACGACTAGGAGACGCAGGAAACTGGGTGCTGGCTAGTTCCTCCTCTGCTTCCTCTTGGAGGGGAACGGTAAAGGCAATCGTCCTCCCTCTTGTTGTCCTCCGTGTTGGCGTGGAAGGAGCCTTCTTTTTCCTCTGGGAAGATGGGGCCTCGAGCACAGGCTGTTCCTCTGGCTGGCTATTTGAGATCACAACTCCTGCAGATGCTGGTTCTTCCTTCTCCTCTCCCATCTCCCGATTAGCATTTTGCTCTGCCATTGAGTCTTTGTCCTCCACAACTGGTGGGATGACTTCCAGTACATTCGGTTCTGAGTCGGAAAGACTTTCAGGTTCTTGATCTTCTTCAGCAGGCATTTCTGCTGAGGGCTCCTCCACTGGACTTGGTTCAGACAACGGAAGGACTTCAGGTTCTTGATCTTCTTCAACCAGTATTTCTGCTGTAGGCTCCTCCACTGGACTTGGTTCAGACAATGAAATGACTTCGGGTTCTTGATCTTCTTCAGCAGCCAGTATTTCTGCTGTGGGTTCTTCCACTGGACTTGGTTCAGACAATGAAATGACTTCAGGTTCTTGATCTTCTTCAGCAGCCAGTATTCCTGCTGTAGGCTCTTCCACTGGAATTGGTCCAGAGTCGGAAAGACTTTCGGGTTCATTATCTTCAGCCAGCATTTGTGCTGGAAGTTCTCCCACTGGACTTGGCCCAGAGACTGAGCGTCCTTCCTGTTCCTGATCTTCAACTAGCATTTCTGCTGAAGATTCTCCCACTGGATCTGGTTCTGACATTGAAAGGCCTGCAGTTTCATGATCTTCAACCACCATTACTACCTCTTCATCACTCTGTACTTCAGCATCTTCTGTCTCAAGGTTTTCCGCGGTGTTTTCAGTTTGTAGGTCAGCAAGTTCTGACTCTGTCGTCTCATCTAGCTCAATGCCATCTAAAGTATCCACCTCTTTGCCCTGGTCCTCTTCAGAGATTTCTCCAGACCCAGGAGGATCCTGATCATCTGTGTCCAAAATAATGACCTCAGGTTTGTCAAGAGCCTCCACTGCTGGAGACAGGGAGGGAGGGTCAGAGCACTGCAGATCGTTCTCCATTGGCAGCGTGTCTGAATCATCGTCCATATCCAGCATCAGAGAGAAGCTGCCGTTAGCTTCGGTCCTCGGCTCATCTGGCACAAGGGTCTGCTGAAGCCCAGGAAGACACAGCTGAGAGCCATCGACCAGGCCTTGCCCCCCCACAAGCTCCAGTGGTACGAGGAGAGTGGTCGAGGGTTTGAGCTCCATGTATGATGTTCCTTGCTCTTCGTCCTCAACAACATCTAATCCTTCATCTTCACCGAGTCTCACCATCACCACCTCACCCTCCATGTCCTCCTCTAACATCTGTAGCGGAATAAACACACAGCAAGTTATTTCTTGATTTCTAACCTCTGCAAAACAAAATAAACAGTTTGGCCTTAGCAGAGGTCTGGACAGTGATCAATTAAATATTTTATCACGACTAATTGAGTAAATGCCTAATAAAGTGTTACCTTTATCTCTGCACCGGGCTCGATCAGAGAGAACTGCGCAGCCTCCTGTTCCGACAGACTTGGCAGGAAGTTTGTGTGTTCTTGTTGTACAAAGACTGAAGTGGGTTGGAGCGGTGGCAGCCTCCCATTACCCTGGACCTCCTCAATGATCTCCACCTCACTACCAGAGTCCTCTTCCTCTTCCTCTTCTTCCTCCTCCTCCTCTTCCTCCTCCTGATCAGACTCCTCCTCTTCTTCTTCTTCTTCTTCTTCTTCCTCTGACAAGGCGCTAGAAAGCTCTTCACTAACATTCAAACTCACAACAGCTAGTAGAAAATGAGAGAGCAGAGAAGTGCAGGTGTGTGAGGAAATGTGTAAAGCAGTACAGCAATAGTCAGTGTTCATTTGCATGTGTCGTCCTCACATTGGGAGTCTGTGCCTGTTGGCTCCGTCGACGTCACAGAAGCAGAAGATTTTTGGCTGGTGAACACTGGAGGAGCTTCAGCAGCATCCTGCACCTCCTCATCAGCCTCACCCGCTGACTCACTGGGAGAAGAACATTTTTATTAAAAACCTAAATACATCATTACATGACATTTGTTAGACGCTTTTATCCAAAGCGACTTACATACATTCAATACTATGGACAGGGCTGCACATAACTGGTGCAAATGCGCACCCGACGCCAAAAAAGGAGCACCGGATCATTTGAAAAAAGGCACATTTGCGCACCAACAGACAGAGAGAGAGAGACAGACAGACAGACAGACAGACAGACTTACTTATTTGCGAGTTGCATAAGAACTGGTAGATAGCAGGGTTTCCCACACATAGACTTTACTTGCCGCCCAGGCATATTAACGGCCGCCAAAGTATAATTCGCGAGCCATTTAGGTTTAATTTTTTTTAATCCCTTCCGCCAGCACGGCGGCATCTGCGATCCCCCGCTCTACTCCTCGCTATCGCGCGAAGGGTCTGCTTTATGCGCTCCGCACAGTAAAATTAGGATGAATCCTATTTTTGACGTGGCGCAGCCGTAAGGTAATGTCGGGCAGGAAGCACGCGCGCACACACACACACATGCTGTAGGCTCT